TATCAAATTTCTTCACTAATATCAAGTATAAATTTGGATTTGATTTATTTTTAAATGTTTTAACTATCTAAAGTGTAGGAAATAACATTTTTTTTGTTTGTAAACATTCACAATCATGAGTCCCATAACCCATTAGAGTCATATGGACATCACATGTACTGTAGCCATAGCAACAGTAGTGTGTCTTGGGCAAGATAGCCTGACACAGCCCAACCTTCTCAAGGCTGGTTTGAATTTAGACTTGTACTTCTAGACTGCTTGCCAATCAAGGCCTAGTCTGTCCTGCTATTTACCAATAGCCGTAGGGAGGAGATATGGATTTATACCTTTCCCAGGGCTAAACATTAGCACTTCATATAATTTTTACAACTTTGAGAGGAGTCACTAACAATAACACGTACGTTCAGGGGGATTTTTTTTTTTTTTTAAACTAGTCTCTGAAAAATAAGATTATTTCCTGTTTTTTTTTGTTTTTGTTTTTTTTTTTTCTTTTCTTTATATGCATAAGAAAAAAACTGAAGAATGTATTCTGGTAATAATTGTCTGAACAAAATTTTGAGTTCTAATAATATTAATGATATAATTTTGGTCTGATTCTTTTAAAAAATAAATTTGCTGCTCAACTGATTGATAAATGAAAAAAAAATCATTTTGAATGTGAATATTTGTAATATTGATTTTGTGTTGGTACGACATTTAATTTCTTTCTGCTCCTCCCCAGTTGTGCTTAATCCATCAGTTACCAGATGAATCTACTTTTGAAAGGCCAGTGTCAGTTCTGATTTTGGTGACTTAAGCTACAAACGAGAAGAAAGTTAATTCAGAATTTAGTATTATTGGGCTTTCAATTTACTAAAACTGACCCTTGTTTTTCCTTTATTAAAAAAAAAATGTAATTTTTGTTAAGTCAGCATTGGCATTTCTCTCTAACTTAATTGGGTTTTGATGGATAGAAAGTTGATATTTATTTAGTATAGGGGGAAGTGTTTATATTTTGACAAGCATAGAGTGAAATGTTCACTTTTGAATTTTTTTTCTTCCAAGTCTGTATAGATGCATGTAGAACTAAAACTCTTTCTATTGATGAAGGATATTAAGTATTCACTTGTAAGTAAAACAGTATTGTTCAGCTTACCTAATGTCACTATCTCTGCCAATCCATCTTAATATCTGAGTGGTTTAATAAATTTGTCATAACATAAAACAAGACTATCATATGGTTTAAGACTTTCTTGTATGTATTTAGGGAAATAAGATTTTGATGCTTATTTACAAAGGAATTTATTTTAATGCTGTCTGGAATTATGATTTTTTTCCAATTAATATTCTCATCTTTATTGGTTTTATCACAAATATATTATTTATTATATTTAGGTATATTATTCTGTAGGATGATGGTTTTAACTATTGATAGTTTCTTATTTGAATCAGAATTTCCTGCAGATAGGACTGGTCTTGTGTCGTCAGGCTGAAAATGTCCAGCTGCATATACCAAGTAGATAAACATGCAAGCTGTTTGTTTTTTTGTTTTTTTTGTACATATTTATAGGTGATGCTATTTCTTTTCCTCATCCTGTTCATTTTCACTGAACACAGATATCAACATTGCATTGAATTCTACATTGGCTTAATCCATACCATCTCTTGATAAACCTGCAATCAGCCTCCTTCATTATGAATTTTCCAATGAAGTTATAAGTTATTTTACCTATTAATTGGACCTTTTCCTTAAAAAAAAAAAAAAAAAAAAGTTAATGTGCTCTCTTTTCAAGTATATACAGTAGCGGTCATAATATAAGGAACAGAAACAACAAAGACATAAATATGTGTATTACTTAAAAAGTAATGCATGATTAGCAATGAAATTTTTACCGAATAAAGATTAGGGTGTAATGCATAAATGTTATACAAAGTTACAAAAATTTACATAATAGTTTTTTAAAATAAAGATTAAATGGAACAAAGAAAATAAGCTACTGGACAAAAGTTAAGGAACGATCTTGTTAATACTTGATTGTGAACAAAATATCAACCAAATTTAATATTTGGTAAACATCCCCTTATTTTCAATGACTTCTCTGCATTGTCGACCACATGATCTAATTAATTTCTTGCAAAAATCAGCAGTAATTCCCTCCCATTCGTCTTTCAATAACTCCCATAGGTGATCCTGGTTTTTTGGGTTTCTTTTCTGAGCCCTTTCTCCAATTATCTTCCAAACATTTTTTATTCGATTCAGGTCGGGGTTCTGGGCTGGCCACTTTATTAGGCCGATTCCTTCTTCTTCAAATAGAGCCGTAACCTGAGCCTTGTGGCAAGGTGCATTGTCTTGCATGAAAATAGGAGATTCATAAAGATTATGGTGTAATCTTGGTGCCACATGCTGCTGAAGAAGCCTTTTGTAAATATCAGCATTGATATTGCCATGTACATGGATGATAGGGCCAATTCCTGCAGATGAAATCTTTCCCCACACCATCACACTGCCACCACCAAACTTAACGGTTTTCTTGGCACATTGAGAAGACAGTCTTTCACCTGTTCTACAGCATACGTAAGTTTTGCTCTCAGAACCAAATATAGTAAACTTGGACTCATCACTGAAATGAACTGTATCCCATTGTGCGTCAGTCCAAACAACATGTTCTCTCGCATGCTCCAGGCGTGCCCTTTGGTTTTGCTTTGAAATGAGATGCTTCGAAGCTGGAATACGGGCATGCAATCCTGCATTTTTTAACCTGCGAGCAACCGTTTTCCTTGAGATCTTATTATTTGTCTCTTCATTAAATTTACGGGCAATTGATGTAGCATTTTCAAAACGTTTTTTTATAGATATTCTAACAATTCTTCGATCTTCTCTTTTGAAGTTTTTGGAAGTCTGCGGTTTTTGTTTTTTTGCATCTAACGTTTTATCAGTTTTATACCTGCTAATTATCGATGAACGACACTTTTAGACCTATGAACAATATCAGAAATTTCTGAAATTGAGTTTTTTCTTCAAAGAGAGCTTTTTTTCGTGTAGAATTTGCCATATTGCTTAAAAATAAAGTCCTAATGATAAATGAACTTTTACTTATTGTTGAAAAGCTCCATAAAGTTTTTTAACAATGTAAATTAAAAGTTTATGCAAATTATTAACATCGTTCCTTAACTTTTGTCCAGTAGCTTATTTCCTTTGTTCCATTTAATCTTTATTTTTAAAAAAAACTATTATGTAAATTTTTGTAACTATGTATACTATTTATGCATTACACCCTAATCTTTATTCAGTAAAAATTTCATTGCTAATCATGCATTACTTTTTAAGTAATACACATATTTATGTCTTTGTTGTTTCTGTTCCTTATATTATGGCTGCTACTGTATATTCAACTAGGGCTTGAGACTAATGTTCTTCAGCATTGTCCTGAAACTATCTTCAAAAACACCTTAAACTGTCCTGGAATCAAAGTTTTATCATTAATAGTTATGAGTAGCATAATAAAAAGCCACAATTAAAATGTTTATAAAATAAATTAAAAAAAAATTCCCAAATATTAAAGTTTGAAAAGGAATAAATACAAAAATATTAAATTTTACTGTAATTCTTATTAAACATTTCACTTAATTCATCTTGAATAATTTCATACAGAAATATTCTAATTTTCATGCTGAAACATTTATCATACTTCAATAATTGTTTTCTATGCGTTCATATTCTATATAAAGAATACTAGTGCATTCCAACAATTCAGAATCAAAAATATTTTTAAAGTCTTTATTAAAACATTTCATTTGCAATTACCTGCTTCACGTTGTGACTAAATTTTCTGTTTATCATTTTTTTTTAAATTATCTTGTAATTTCAATTTAGTTTATGATAAAGCAGAAAACATAAGTATTGTTTGTTAATGATACATGCAAGATTTTTTTTTTTTTTAACCAAAAAATGATAGAAAAAGTATTTTCTTGCTTTGTTTATTAAAGCATAACTAATTCTTCAAATTAAATCATGTTTTCACATTTTAGAGATAATACAAATATCTAAGTTTCTTCCAGTTTTATTTCTCATTTTGGTTTCATTCACCAGTTTAAAAAGTACTTCAGTATTATTATTTTGTATGTGTATATAACTCCCTTTTATTAAAACTAAGCACTATTGGTGAGAAGTAAAAAAAAAAATATATTTTAAGAAATGAATTACTTTTAGAATGAATGAGAGAATCTTAATTAAAAATTTTGTATTTTCCTCTCATTGTCCCAAGAAGCCTAACCAGTTGTCACAAATTAATGTTTCCAGGGACTGTTAACTTTGAGCCCTGTATTCATCCTTCCCTGATTGTTATATAATATAAACATACACTAAAGTATTAAAAGACTAGGCTCCTGTGAGTTCTGGAAAATCATGAATAAAATTCTCAATAGAGGTAAAGTGTTTTTGTCAGCTGTCATAAATAGTCCTGAAGTTATTACATTCTCATATGACAATGAGAGGCTCTTTGCAATGAACTTTGCCTCTAACTCTGTTAGGCGATTAGAACCACTCCTTACCTGACTTCACCCTCCCTATGAAGAAGAAACTTTGTAATATCTCTACCACAACACAGGAATTTTCCAGACTTATCAAAAACTTTCACTCTAAGAAGGCCACCAATCCAGACAAAATCCCAGTGGTTGTTCTTAAAAATGTCAGCCCAGTGTTATCTCCAATTCTGACAAGACTGTTTAACTGCTGCCTGAAGGGATTTGGTTGGTTGCTTGTTTTTGCTTCACAGAATTTTGTATGAGTTATTTAATGCCAAAATCTAAATATTTTGTATACAATTCTACTTATTTATTTATATTTTATTTATTTATTTATTTATTTTTTTTTTTTATAACAATGGTTTTAGTGACAAGTCTTACTAATTAACCCATAGCTGGAGAGGTATTTGCACATAAGTGCGTATAACAAACTCAACTGTAACTGGAATGCAGCTCTCTGATTAACAATTCCAAGTCATTATCCATTAACTACCAAGCTTACAGCACCTCATATTCCCAAGTGGTCACCCATCTAGGTACTGGCCAGGCTCAACATTGCTTAACTTTGGTATTCCCGAAGAGAAGATACTTCCCAAGTCCATGTGGGGATGTCAACTGTGTATCCTGTTTTTAAGAATGTGGGTGAGCACTCCTGCTTGTTGCAATATTGACACATTAGTCTCCTTAATATCATCAGCAAACTCTTAAATCTATAATCAACAAGAACATTGTTGAACACCTCAACAGGAACAACCTCCTGAGTGATAACCAGTATGGATTTTACCCTAAAAATCCACAGTTGACATCTTAGCTATCATTATTCACAGAATCAGTGACACACTAGACAATAAATTCATCAAAAGGACCATTGCTCTGGATATATCAAAGATCTTTGACAAGATGTGACATTGAGGGACTGCTACATGAACTCTCTGGAAGAGATCTTTCAATTATAAAGTTCTCCTTAACAGGTAGGTCCCTGAAAGGTTGTTGTTAACAGCCAGTCATTGGAAACCCATATGATCAATGCTGGTGTTCCACAGGGTTCTCTCGTCAGTCCTACCCTCTTTTATATTAATGATCTACCTGGGAGCACACTCTGAGTATCTATGCAGATGATAAGTAGTTTATAGGTTCATTTCTAAAAATCTGGAAGACCAGCAGCTCATCTCTCCACTGACCTACTGCAGATGGTTCAGTGGGGAAAGGAATGGCTTGTAAAATTCAATATGGCCAAAACCAAACTAGTTATGTTCCTCCACCACCAAGCAGACCTTGAGATTTCACTCTTCATGATGGATAAGTTTTCTCTCAAGTTTCTTTTGCCTTAAATGTCTATTGGGACTTTAGGTTTACCCAGACCTCAAGTAGAATTACTATATTCACTCTATTACTATTGCTGGAGAAAATGGCTGGTTCATTCTACTGCTCCAGTAAATATCTGGCTCTCCTTATTATACTCTCTTTACAAGAGCCAGCAGACCAAAAATCGAGTATTGCTTCAATGGAAATGAGACTTCACTTGCCTGTCTTGATCGTTCAAATATGTGGATAATGAATAATTTTCCTTCCTACAACCCCTTTCCCCCAGACAAAATGTTGCAAACCTCTCACCGTTCAGTTACTATTTCCATAGTATGTGTACTGATAAACTACAATCTTGGTCCCACCATCCCTGATCTCTACAACTGGAACCTGCCATGCCACATGCACAAGTGTGAATCATCCCCCATTCCCTTTGTATTCCATTATTAAGAAGTAAGTTCCATCTAGACAGGTTCTTCCCAAGAGCTGTTGCAATGTGGAACACTCTTGGCAGGATGTTTTCTTAATCACTAAAATCTTGACTTCTTCAAACCTAGGGTTAACTGTTATCTTTCCTGCATAACCCCATAAAATTCACTTCTTATACCACAAAATAACCCTCTACCTTAAGTGGCTCTTGGATCTTGTACCGGATGAAAATTAGTATAAAAAAAAAAGTTTAATTTTGAATTGTTATCTAGCAATTTTTTTTTTTTTTTTTCATCAATATAGTTGACTGAAATTTCTCCTTATAGATTTAAAATTCCTCTTTGAGATCCAAGTATTTCCCATTTGAAAATCACTGCATAGGATATTATACAAGAGCATTTAGAAGAGAAATCTAATCAAAAATTTTTTGTATGTATGTGGGGTGGGATACCATCCAAAGAATTGCATGAAAAATGACAGGATAGTGTGCTTTATCAATGCTGGCACTGTATTAGTTTATATGAGAAGCTGCTTGGCATGAAATGATTAGCATCAGTATTTGAATAGATAGTCATATCATAGGGTTTGATTTATTACATGAATAATGTAGCTCGCTTCTAATTTTCTTGATAGTCCTCAAAAATTTCAAAAATCTGTGTTATTCATGGGCATTGCTCTGGAGTTCTGAACATGTAAAATTAAAAAGCTTGTTCGTCATTCTCTCAAATGGTAAAGGAGGAAATATGAAGATAATAATAAAAAATATTGATCATTTTAAGTAAAAAACGAAAATTTGTGAATTATCTTGACCTTTCAATGATTTCATCTCAATGCCTGGATGAACAAAATGGATTTTGTGTGCGTTAACAGCAGTTCCAGTCTTCCAGTCCTGGCTCATTGTTAGGCTCAATTCCCCTGAGGAAAGACATAAGCATATCAACTCCCTGCTGTTTATATAAATGCATTCATTAATGTATTAATAGTGTTCTCATCTTGTAAGGACAGTAGCACTTATCACTTGCATCTCAAAAGACTTTCATTATAAAATCACTTGATATATAAAACCACCTGCATACTAAATTACCAATCTCTTCAAGGTTTTAAACTTCATGAATTAAATTCTGATGCAAAACTATGAAAATCATGTTCTCCTTATCATAGGTCATTTAAGTATTTATTTACACTTTTACGACTTTTTTTTATTCTGTTCTTGATTGACTGCTTACCTTACAAATTTGGTTGTAATTAGAACTCCTTCCATGAAATAGTATAGCATACTATGATCTTACCTCTTCTCAAAAGTCCTCAATAAAAATAATAATTTCAATTAATTTGACATGATTTGATCCAAGTTAACTTATTATTTTTATTTCTGTTTATGCAAAATTACAGGTAGTGACCTCACTTGAGATTCCTTAAGTAAAAGTTGTTTTTGATGCTTTTGATCTTATTTCTTTGGCTCAAGTAGCCAAGAAATAAATATGCAAACAAAACATTGTTAATGTCTTGTCACATGCTGTTAATACATGGTTGTCTACTTTATACTCATAACTAGTTTTTTTGACAATTCGCCAGTTTTGTTCCCAAACATTCGTATTACTGTCATTGTTCTACTCATTCAGTCATGTTTTTGTGTAGTACTATTGTTATTTCAGCCAAGAAGAGCCTTGAAATATAAAGACTTAATTGTCTGTACTATTATCGCAGGTGAAATCTGGACTGTTTTGTTCTGCTTATTAGCAAGGGATGTGCCTTGCATTCCATAGCTGTTGGTATGTGTATCCACTTGCAACTTGGGATTCTACAAAAATAGTGGAGAAGGGCATGTAACATTTTTTTTTGTTGTTTAGATTTTTTTCTCTTGTGGAAGATATCAAGGATATTTTCATTTATTGAACAGGTTATTTTGGTAGCTGTTAAGATATGTGTTAATGTTTTCTGAAATTTTTGTTAATCCTTATTGCCTCATTTATTTCTGAATCTGCAAATATTTTTAAAAAATAAGATAAATTTTAATGTATTTTCATTTAACTGAATGAGTTAATCCTTTTACAACTGTAAAGTTAATAAATCCGTATTTATTAAGCTTAGCTTAATTTGACACAAGTTCGTGTGTGTGACGGTTATTTAGAAAAGATTGAACTTCATAAAGGTCTACTAATGTAGTTTGCTTACTATTACACCATGGTAAGGTGTGCAATACTAATGTTAATTACATACTGAAAAAGACATTTATTATTATAATAATCTTGTAAAATATTTCTACAAGCTTTTATGTTAAAATTTATTTTATATAATGATAAAAACCCATGTATGAAAGGATGCTGAAAAGTTCTTGAGCCAACCCAGTTCACAACAATTCATTAGTTGTCCAATGATCAAACGTGTGTGCATCTAATGTATATATGTAACTTCAAAGATTTTCTAAAATATGAACATAATAAAAAATATGCCCAAAACTTAATAAAAATAAAGTTTTATCATCAAAATCTTGATTGTTAAGAGGAAAAATCAAACAATTTTTTGATAGAAAATTGTTCTCAATCCTTTTTAGAACCTTCAGAATTTTGGTTAAAAATCTCTGGTGCAAGGGAGGACCATAAATTTGTATGGGGAATTTAAGCATCTTTTTGCAGTGAAAAACTCAATGATTTGGAAATTCTTACAAAAATTAGATAATTGTCAGATTTTAATTAAACTTTTAGGACTTAATCAAAAATGAATGAAATTAATTTAAATTTTTTTTTTCTTTTAGAAAATCTTGGTAAAAAATTTCTTTCTTTTTTTACATTTGTTACCTCCACATGTTTTATGAAATTTTGAGAATTTTTGTCGCACTTAATGTTTATATTAGTTATAGGAGAATTTAAATCAACTTTTTTTTTTTCTATCAAACATTTACAGAAAATCCATTCTGAATTGTAAAATAATAAATGCAATAAAGCTAAGACATTATTTAATTAGAAAAGCTTTTAATTGTTTTTATGAATATTATGAACACAACTGTCTTAAATTTTTTTTTTTTTTTTTTTTTTTTTTTTTCAATGAATAATTAATTTTTACAAAAATTTAATTTTTTTTTTAATTTAAATAATTTATAAATATTTAAGTCTTTTAAAATTCTGTATTGTATCGATCGATCAAGTGATATTTTTATTAAATTAAAACTAATGGAAAAGCTTTCTACTATTCAGTAACCTCACCACCACAGTATTTTAAAAGTGTTTTAAATTTTTTGTATATGTATAAACATGCCAATTTTTGTAAATATGGATGTTCATACATGACATAATCAGAAAATAAGAGCAGTAACTATAGTAGATATAAAATTTATTGGTAATTTTCTAACATTTCCTCAACAAGCATCTTCATAAATAAAACTATAAAGGTAAAGTACCTGAAATTTTTAGTAAAATATTAAGATGTTTAAAATATTTTAATTTCCTAAAATTATGAGGTATTTAAAAAAACATAAAAAAAAAAGGCAAATAGGTTATATTTGTCAAGTAATTGCTACAGTTATGTCCTCCTTAGAAAAAATTCAAACATAAGTCTACTGAGAGAATTGTTAACACTTTATAAAAACACTCACCTCTATGTTAAAAATGCTCTTGTGCAATATTTTTAAACTAAACATAATATTTATTTCAAATTAATTAAACTTTAAATCCACTAATTATCTTTCAAATAAAGTTTCAGAAAAGTGTTTTATTTTTTTAAAATTTTTTAATAAAGAGAATTGTTCTGTGTTGACAGATTTGTCAGTATGGGCAATTTTACAGATAATAAAAAAAAATTACAATTGATTTAAATTTGGTTTGAAATGTAGCAAAGTATTTTATTTTTTGGA